CATTCTGAAAACACACATCCAAAAAGACTGAAACACTGATTATCATAAATCCTAACCAACACTGCGCGCCGTGTTTTGAAGTTCACTTTTAGTGCTGCAAAATGTCAGCTTACTTAAGAGATGGCGAGCTCTTTATTTTTTTATTTTTTTCCTTCATAATTTAGGCGAGATGACCGATGTAGACGGAGGGGTGGGGGCTGTGTTGCAGCCTCGAGCAGCAGTATCAAAGGGGAAACAAAAAAATAAGAGCTCATTCTAGCCACGGATTACCACGGCAGTGTCATCACGCACATGCTGGATCATCAGAACAACGTACATCCATCCCGATCACCGACACCATCACCCCTCGTGCGAGTCGAGACGTTAGAAAGCCTCCGTACTGGTTTCACACTTATTCCCTTGTTTTCTATTCAGTCATGCTGCGACGCTGAAGCAAAGTAATGAATTAAATGAGGTGTTTGTCGACGCTATCAATCTAAAACAATGCAGATAATGTCACACTTGAGGTGTCAGCTCGCTCATTTATTGTGTTTGTGTAGTCGTTTTTAATTGCATCTTTCACGAAAACAAAAACATTCCCAAACTCTTCCTCTCCTTAGCTTCACCCCGTGTCATCCTCTCAGGTAAAATATTTGTGCAACACAGTGGTATATTTTTTATTTCATTACACCGAGTATTTCCCAGGCTTATAGCAGCCAAGAACTCCACATTAATACAGATTTGGTAATTGCTCCCCTGGGATTATTGTTCATTTTGAGGTTCCACGTGCGCGTTCCTGTGATTCTCTTTCACACTAATACGCAACACATTGCACGCTATTTAATGCATTGCAGCAAGTCCGGTAACAATTTTTCCTTTTGGGAATCCTCTCAGTGATTCATTCATTATGTGAAACTTAATATTAAAATAGTTTTGAGAGGCCTCTGCACATTATGCATGCATTTATTATTGAAAGGCCCTGACTAACACATCATTTTAATGAATGGAGGGCATGCACTGTTATTGATACCTTAAATGCAACATTAAATATTTCCGCTCCTTCTGCCATATATGCAACATTAAATATATCCTCGGCCCCTTTTAAAGTTTTGCTTCAGTATACTTTGATGCAAGATAGTTTTCATGAAGATTAATGTAGTTTAGCGCATGACTCATTCTCATAGCTCACCGCAGGAGGACCATCTCCCTGTTTTGCATGACGGGTAGCCAGCTTGCTAGAATGTGATGGAAAATCCATGTTGCTTACTCTCCAGGTATAGACCAACAAACAAATCAATTAAAGTGTGAGAGCACGCTTAATGCGCACTTAGCACCTTTGTCACACTCGGCAAAAGTTGCATTCCATGTCATTTCCGTACTCACAGCATGGCTGTGCGTCACTTGATGGCAACATCTGCTAAATGATAAATAGTCCAAGTTAGTCATCCTCGGATATCTTTCTATTTTTTTTTCTTCTCTGTGTTTGCCGTGGCATATCAAATTGCATTCCAGCTCAGTCCATGATCAGTTCCTTTGAAAGAAAAACATGGACAGGAATTGTAAGGAGGACAAACACTATGGGGCCACATCAACCTCTTATGAGGCTCTGGGTATGGAAAAAAAAAACACCTTCTCTGTGTTCTATATGTTATCTGTTCACTTCAAGTACAGCGAACAAAGCAGACTTTACAAAAGCTCTATTTACACTTGTTTTAAAAAGTGTCTCACATACAGATTAAGCCTATCTGAGATTTAGGACACTTTTGTTCACACATATATGTGTCGCCTTTGGCCGGATCACAAATCTAATTGAAATCCGTCTTTTATTTTCCTGGGCTACATGCAAAGTTGGCCTTACTTCAATCCAGAGGGTAATGGATAAAAGAAGAAGAAGAATTTAGCGGTTAGGGTACTATAATGATAGCTTTTGCAATTATCCAGCTAATAACTATCCATGAAATATCCATATTGCTAAAGTAAATGCTAAAGTAAATGCTACAGTAGCCTGTACTTGATCATATATTTTCTTGTATCTTTAGCAACCATTATCACAGGGACAGCAGAGACGGACCGTGTGTTTATCAAGAAAATCACACAGCGAGGGATTATTTTCACAGACTGCTCACTGACATGTGGGAAGGCTGTGGTCGACTGACTCTTCAACCAATTGACTGGTCGATGGGGGGGAAAAATCTTCCGGTTATTTTAATTAGAGTTCATTATTATAGTTATTTCTAGATGGACTAAATGGCTGCAGTGCAGTGATAAAAACAGAGCCGCATTTGTTAAGTAAAATATATCCGAATGGCATTTTTTTTACAACAATACAGCCTGTGATCCAAAATAACATACATCAGGTGGATATGTCCCTCCCGCCCCTGAAAATAATTGATTAAGAAGCAGTTTTCTCATTAACACCAGCGATTGTCTGAACAATGAGAATTTTGTCAGATGAGAGCAACCAACCGACCGCGATGGTGTCGGCCCTAGAGTAAAGGTTGCATATGTGTCGCATTTACACCTCAAGTCTTAAACCATCTGTACTGAGTGCTCCTCGGATCCCTTTACGCTTATCTATTTGGAGGTCGGACAGCTAAAGTATAATGGGGGCCCTGACACAGGGCCCTTCTAGAGTTTAGGGCCACGAGATTAGCCAGAAGCACGGAAGCCAACTTAGTTGATGTTGCACTTTGGTGTTAACATATCTGTAATTAATTACCAACTACCAATTGACATGCTGTGAACATGGGTCACGTGGTTGATAATTTAGCATCCTGTTACTAAATGGAAGCAATTAATCATACTGTATTCCTTTGTTGCAGTCAGACTGACTGAATATCAGCAACACCGTACATACTGGTCCTAGCATATTAAAGACACTGATCTAACCTTTGTTATAAAGGTCATCCCAGACACATTCATGTGCCACTGTGGGACTATGAAATGTCAATCAAAATGTGCAGGCTTAGTGCATGTTGAGTCATCTGCTCCCCAGTGAGGAGGAGCGAAGGAAGAGTTCAGATTAATTTGTCAGACCTAGAAAAGCTTCGACTGTGATGTCTTCTTCCAAACGTCACGTTGGAATATACACAATCAAAAGCAAACACTCAGATATACACACACATTTATTATTTATATTGCTGCCATTGTCTCTTTGTTCTCATTACGCAAACAGCCATCTCAAGTCCCCGGTGCTGAGAACTGAACCTCTCAAAGCTTAATTCCCCCTGTCAAACTTTGGCTAGTAAAAGATGCACCGCAGTACATTAACAGCTGTGCGACCGAATCATGCTAGGATGACTGCGCTTTTGGGCGGATGTTTCCCAGCCCGCATTTAGCATGCTCCTCAAGGGCAACCTCTGCCACGCCGTCTTCCACTTAATCTCACACTCAGGTTGGGGACAGCAAGAGAAACAGCAGACTGAAACAGAAGGGCACGCTGAGGCTGTAAGCAACAGTAGGCAATTTTTATGGTTTAGTGCCGTGGGCAGCCAGTGGAGAGCAGCGAGGAAGGACTCAGATTAAAGCTGCAGTAGGGAGGTTGTATGGAAATAACCTTTTGTCATATTTGCTGAAACTTTCACTATATCCTGACAGTAGCACATGAGACAAATGAAATGTGAAAAAATCAGCTTCCTCTGGCTCCTCGTTGTGCAGGAACCGATCAGGCCTGAACAAAAACAGCCAATCAGAGCCGGGAAAGCTAAAAATACGCTTTGGTTCGGTGGGTTCAAAATAGTTGATTGTAGAGTCTCATTTCCAGCATCAGTATATGACAATCTGGGAATTAGACTCAATAATCAACTATCTTTCTCGGCTTTGATTGATTGTTTCCTTTCAGGCCCGTTGGATTCTTGCAAATGCCGTTAGAAGCACTAGGAGGAGCCAGAGTAACTGATTTTTCCACACATTATCTGTCTCATGACCTACAGTCAGGATATAGTGAGTTTCAGCAAATATGACAAAAAGCTATTTTCATAAAGGTTACCCACTGCAGCTTTAAGGCATCTCTCAGTACCATGCTATTAACATTACCTGCATATTTCACTTCTGCTTTGCTAGCTGTATTGCCAACCTTTTATCAAGTTGCCATGTTTGCAATAAGCCATAAAATGGGTCTATGCTTCTTATTCATAGCTGTTTGGTGAGTTTCAATTTCCGTCTGTCAACCGAAAGGATGTATAGAGAGAAGCATTCGAGGAGCATATGTAATTTTCAGACTCTAAAATAAAACAGGTGCATCATTTTGGGCATAAGGGACCTGTATGAAATTGGCTGCCATTCCTACCTAAATTTCACATTTTGCAGTTTGAATTAATGCAGCTCCCTCAATATTGGTGCCCCCATACAAACTTGTGATACACCTACCTGTTTGCCCAAATGATGTTCTGGAGTCAGGTACATTTTTCCACCTACAGGCAGTGATGAATCAAAAACTAAAAAAGCCAAAATAGGAACAGCCTCCCTAACAAAAGCGAATGGTTGGGTTGGTAAACATGAACATCTTGTGTGCAGTTTACTTACATCATGTTACAGGATTTCTGAGAATCAAAGTTAAGTTTGCTGTTGGGCTTGCTGCCATTTAAAGCTGCCAGTGCACTGCATAGCTTTATTTGTGTTTTCTTTGACTTGAAGTGAGACTATGTTGTTTTTGAATGAAAATATGAAGTATTTATTGGATTTACTGAGCAACACCGCTGCAGTCAGGGGTTCTACTTGCCAGAGCCTTATTGGTCCGGTTTTACCAGTAGCTTGTAGTGGCTAATATTAGCAACTAATTTGTGAACAAAGGGGAACATATCATGTTAAATTAGTTAGACGTTGCTGAATATTACTCAGCAACGTCAGAGCCAGATATTTCCTTCTGAATGAAAAACTGAGCTTAAAAGCTAAAAA